ATAGATTTGAGGAAAGCCTATGACACAGTAGAATGAGAGTTTGTAGCTGAGATGATGCATGCACTGGAATTTCCTCAACAATTCATCAAATGGACTATGACATGCATAACCGCAATGTAGTATGCAATTGCAATCAATGGGAGTCTATATGAGAACATAAAAGGAGAAAGAGGACTTAGACAAGGGGATCCAATATTCCCACTGATCTTTGTCATATGCATGGAATATTTCACGAGGATAATGAATGTAGTTGCAGAGCAGGTGGGATTTGAGTATCATACTAAGTGTAAAAGTTTGAAGTTGAATCATCTGTGCTTTGCAGATGATGTTCTATTATTCAGTAAAGGGACTTTTCAATCAGTGCTGCTGCTATTGAGGGGCTTGAAAATATTCTCAGAAAGCTCAGGCCTAACTACAAATGCAAACAAGTCAAATATATTTTGTGTCAATATGCCATTACAGAGGTAGAAGGACCTGATGGAAATGACAGGATACCAGAAAGGAAGTCTACCATTCAGGTATCTTGGTGTGCCTATATCAGCTAAGAAGATATCTAAAATGGACTGTGAAATACTCATAGACAAGATAGCATCTAGAATCAAAGGTTGGGGTACAAGACATCTATCTTATGCAGGAAGGTGCAGCTAGTGAATTCAGTATTACTTCACATTCATAATTACTGGTCAACTATATTTTTGCTTCCAAAGCAAGTGATGAAAGGGATAACTGCTATGTGTAGAAATTTCATATGGGATGGGAAAGCTGTCACACATAAGCCACCATTAGTGGCATAAAACTTAGTGTGTAGGACAAAGCATGAAGAAGGCTTGGGGGTAACAGACATAATAAAATAAAATGAAGATGCTATTGCAAAATATATATGGAATGTTGCTAAAAAAGCTGACAATTTATGGGTGAAATGGATCAACAATGTCTACTTAAAGGACAAGATTGGTGGCAGTACAAATGCCCCAATGATGCTTGCTGGTACTGGAAGAAAATATGCAGAATCAAAGAAATATTTGCTCCTGGATATAATCAGAATTCGTGGAGCAGTGCCAATGGACAGTACACAATTAAGGAGGGATATACATGGAGAATGGGAGAAAAGAAAAACTGGGCATGGAGAAGATGGGTATGGAACTATATGAACCTACCTAAGCATAGTTTTATTTGCTGGCTCACTATGCATCAAAGATTGCTGACAAAAACCAGATTGTATCGTATGGGCATTAGTTAAGAAGATAGGTGCCCAATATGTGGAACAGAAGAGGAGACTATCCAATATTGTACTTTGAATGTGTATTCTCACAGCAGTGCTTAAGGGAGGTGTTAAACTGGATAAGCATAGGTATACAAAAGACAGAGATAACAGGGATATGGAAAAGAGTGACCAGGCTACTCAAAGGAAAGAGATGCAGGGAAGTTGCTACTGCTATATTGGCTGCCCTGGTGTACTGGATATGGAATGCTAGGAACACTGCTGTATGGGACTTCAAACTACCCACAACTACCTACATACTAAGTCAGATTAAACAAGAATGCAGACTGAGAAAGCTCACCTATTTGAAGAGCAAGACAAGTGTTCAAGAAAGAGAATGTATTGAGAAGATAATGCATAAATAGAAGATTAGATAGATAGAAAAAATAATGTTTTTGATGACAAGGAATACATAGCTAATGTATATGTATATAGAAAGAAATAGGAGAAAAGAGGAAAGTACTGAGGAAAAAACTTGTAATAGTTTCGAGGTGATGAAATAAATTTTTTTTCTCCACCAAAAAAACAAATCATATTTGATAACTGTTTTAAAGATTCGGGAACTAATAGCATATAATAGAAGAAATTATAAATAATTATTTGTAGGAAGAGAATTGATAATCCAAAGAAGAGCAGATAATTTGCTTTAATGTGAAAAAAGAAGAAGATGATTTTAAAGGTTACGAGACATTACATAAAGAAAAGATCAAAAACAAGAAAAGTCAATGAATTTTTTGAAAAGTTACAATATGATTCATATATATGATATCTTTAATTTTAATAGTATGGTAAAAACTAGAAACAAAAATGAAAAGAAAAAACTTAAATTAGTAAGGGATAATATGGAAAATATAAATTTATGGTAGGATAATTTTGTCTTGAATAAATTAATTTTCTACTTCTACTTCTGTCTCTTAGAAGAAGCTAGAATTTTCTGCTTCTTCCCAAAAGCAGAAAAACTGCTTTTGCTACTGGCAAAAAGTAATTTTCTGTATTGGCCAAACAACTCAAATTTTTTAGTAAGTACCTTTTCGGGGAAAAAAGTACTTTTGGCCTCCCAGAAGCTTGGCCAAACAGGTTCTAACAAAGCTCACTACTACAGTGATTATGTTGTGTTATATGTTATTGTATTATCTTTATGCGGGATTTTATACTGGAATTATTAGTTATATTAGACTAACAAAGCTCCCTACTACAATTTTCATGCACCAAGCCACCAACTAAAGTGTTCTTCTCGTTGAACATGTGTTAGATAAAATAATACTATAGTAGTAGTATTTATAGAAGAAAATACCACAATGATTTTCTTATGGATGTAAAAAGAATTTAACTATTTTGGATCTTATACACTTGAGGGTTTGAGTGGAATTCCAACAGACCAACACAATAGTTCCTCGGGATTTTTACACAGATAGCCGACCGGATTCCT